CCAAGGTGGCTGGGGGAACCCAGTCAGATGGGTGTGTAATGTAATGGGTTTAGGGGTTGCTCGTGCGTAAGTTGCTGCCACTCCTGGCTAGGTTACCTGGTTGAACCCTTTCTGACGGGACAGCCTCTAGCTTCGTGGCTGTCTCAGTCGCTGGCAGAATCCGTCAGTGGGCGTTTCTTGAACTTCTTCCAGCATAGAAGTTCTTTGACGCCAAGTCTCCTCCTACTCTCCCTGCGCGGAAGCCTTCTGCGCAGGGAGGGTGTGGGCAGCGGAGTACCCGTACCCTCTCCGCTGGTCTCCGGCGAGGAGTCTTGGAGCCTCCTCTCCGATTCCCCCATCTGCCCCCCTTCTCTACTGGTGTTACGCTGATTTCCTTCCCCAGCAGATGGGCTGCCTCTCTCCCTACTGGGACCCTCTCCGGCATCCCTCTGGAGCCTTCTCTCCGCCTCTAGCTCCGATGGCAGTTCCCTGACATGTAACAAGTAAATAATAATAATAATAATAATCACTGATTCATGTCGCTATTTGGAAAAAATAAGTTATGAATGAACAATTACAAAAGTGATGCATACCAACCACTCATTTGTCTATCCTTAGTACAGAAGCTTCTCCCACTTAGCTATTCATCCGTGTTAAAGAAACCACAGCAAATGGCTTACCATGTATTGTCTGCACACTCTGACAAGCCACACTTGAGTTAATGGCTTTCTCTGTTGGCCATTGGCATAAAACATAGGGGAGATGGGGTAGTGGGTGCGCCTAAAATTTATATGTAAATGATATCAATAATATCTGGATACCGAGTTCTCCACTTTCAATGGTGCAAGGTCGGACGTGGGTGGCGCTATGGTCTAAACCACTGGGCCGCTTAGGCTTGCTGATCAGAAGGTCGGTGGTTTGAATCTGCACGACGGAGTGAACTCCTGTGGCTCTGTCCCAGCTTCTGCCAACCTAGCAGTTCGAAAGCACACCAGTGCAAGTAGATATATAGGGACCACTGCGACGGGAAGGTAAACAGCATTTTTGTGCGCTCTGGTTTCCATCATGGTGTTCAGTTGTGCCAAAAGTTTAGTCATGCTGACCACATGACCTGGAAAGCTGTCTGTGGACAAACGCCGGCTCCCCCGGCCTGAAGTGAGATGTGTGCTGCACCCCATAGTCACCTTTCAATGGACTTTACTGTCCAGGGGTCCTTTACCCTTTCTTTTTTTTTATTAAGGTTAACACTAGGATGGAGGAGAGGTAGCAAAAAGCCCACAATCTGTGCATTCACTGAGTCTGATAAATGTGGACATCTCAGAGTTTAACACAATGTACAAACTTCAAGTCATATTTTCCAGACTTTAGAATTCAAACAAACCACTGCTGGTTCTCGGGTGCAGTTCAAATGTAAAACAGGACCCTGGGGATACCTCTGTGGTTCATGTTGAACATCTTTACTTGCACTTTTGGAGACTCTGTCTGTGCTAAGAATGCCTGGTATTTTTCGTACTATCCATCTTGCAACATTTCAAGCTGTGATTGTTTGACTTTTTAATATGGGTGCTTTCCGCAGCTGCACCCTAGGTCTAGGACTAGGTCTGCATAGATGAACGAATCTGTCAATTTCAATTTCTATCAGTTTTTCATCTTTCCTGTGTTCAGTAAGCCCCATTTCTGCATTAGTTTGGAAGATTTTTTTTTTTTTAAAAAAGAGGTCCACAGAAAAAATTATATACATTTTTTTCTGATGCAAAGATTTATAATGCATTTTTGCCCAATATACACATTTTTTGCAAGCAATTTCACCTAATATAATGCTTTTTGTGCATTATTTGCACTTTCCCCTAAAATACACATATTGGGGTGCTGAACAATTGAATCCCACAAAAACGGAGAAGTGTGAATTTTGAAGGATGGCTGCATTTCAGATCACATATCAGCTTGGGAAGGGCGATTTGCTCTGATTCAGCACTAAACAATGGATTTTCCTGGGGAAAGCAGTGGAACAATGAGAAAACTGCTTAGATCTGTGCTTAGAAAGCACAGGACAGGTGGAAAACTGCTTGGAACAGTGCTTTCTAGAGATGGAACAAGTAGAAGTCTGGAAAACCCCAGGACCAGTGTGACCTGGGGAGAGGAAGTGTGGTTGGGGGAAGTAAGGCTTTCAACACTGTAAATCGTAATGCCCTGTGGTCTTCTGAAAATTGGCTGCCCAGTTAAATTTGTAAACATCATTCGGCTCCTCCGACAGCAACAATCACAGATAACAATGGCTCTCAAGGTGAACCATTCACAGTGGGATCAGATGTTAAACAGGGTTGTGTTATTGCCCCAACTCTATTATAATTATTATTATTTAAAAGACATTTGAAGGCAGCCCTGTTTAGGGAAGTTTTTAATATTTAATGCTGTATTGTTTTTGACACTCAATTGGGAGCCTCCCAGAGTGGCTAGGGAAACTCAGCCAGATGGGTGGGGTATAAATAATAAATTATTAAATTATAAATTATTATTATTCATTATTTTCATTGCCATGATCCTATACTTTGTCAAAGGGAAACTCCCCACCGGAGTAGAAATCATATATATCGAACAGATGGAAATCTCTTCAATCTGAGCAGGCTGAAAGCAAAGAGTAAGGTTACTGTAACTTCCGTCATAGAGCTTCAGTATGCTGATGACAACGTAGTGTGTGCACGCTCAGACGATGACCTCCAAACCATCCTAAAAATCTTCGCAGAAGCTTAGAAAAAGCTTGGCCTGTCACTCAATATCCAAAAAAACCAAAGTGCTGCACCAACAAGTACAAAATAACCCCTCTGCAGTGCCACAAATCCAGCTCAGTGGTGTAACGTTGGAAAATGTTGGTCACTTCTCCTACCTAGGCAGTTATCTTTCCACAAGGGCCAACATCCAGCACCGCCTGAGCTCTGTGAGTGTGGCTTTCTCCCAATTGAAGTGCAGAGTGTTTGAGGACCGGGACATTTGCAGGAAAACCAAGATGCTTGTTTACAAAGCTACTGTACTACCAACCTCACTGTATGCTTGTGAAACATGAACCACTTATAAACGCCATCTCCAACTCCTCAAAAGATTCCATCAACTGTATCTCTGAAAAGTTTTACACATCACTTGGAAAGACAGGCGAACTAATATCAGTGTACTGGAAGAAGCAAAGATCACCAGCGTTGAAGCATTAATTCTTCAACATCAACTTTTTTGGACTGGTCATGTTGTGTGGATGCCTGATTATCGTCTTCCAAAGCAACTACTCTATTCCGAACTTTAAAATGGAAAGCATAATGCTGGTGGTCAGCAAAAGAGGTTTAAAGACTGTCTCAAGGCAAATCTAAAAAAAAATGTAGTATAAACACCAACAACTGGGAAACACTGGCCTGCGAGTGCTGTAATTGGAGAACAGCCTTTACCAAAGGTGTTAGGGGCTTGGAAGACACTTGAACTCAGGACGCAAGGGATAAACGCTCTAAGAGGAAGGCATGCTTGGCAAATCCACACCGTAAGCAACTCCCGCTTGGAAACCAATGTCTTCACTGTGGAAGGACATGTTGAGATTCCGTTCCACCTTTTGTTGCAGATGTGTGGGACTGTTACATGTCACATGTCTGTTTACATTCCAGCACAGATTGCTGGGTCCCATGAGCAGAACTTCCACTGTATTGCTTTTGTTTAGACTCTCTCTCCGAGAAGATGGCAAGGAGAGACATGTTTCTTTGTCCTGATTTAGGTATAATAAATCCGTAGTTTTAGTATGTATCTACAGCCTCACGCCTCTTCTGTTGTACAGTTTACTCTGCATTCATAAGAGTCGCATTCATTGAGTCACTGATTTACGTCGGAGCCAGAGGTCGATGAATCTCCACAGTGAGAAGGCTGAGAGGGAGACGCTCCAGCTGGGGCTGAGCCAGCTGGCCTATTGACCCCCAGATGCTGACAGGACGTGTGGTTCCAGAACTAGCCTCCACAGTCACTTACGGTCTCTATGTTAAAACTGTGTTTATGGAAGACAATCTTACTCGGCAACGAGTGATCGCCGAAGAAGAAGAATTTTGGGGAAGAGTTCAAATTTCCAGACATGGAAGCTTTGGGGGCCACATTTGGCTCCGAGAACTGAGGTTCCCTATCCCTGTTTTACATGCTCAGGTACATGCCTGATCATAACTTCCATGTGGTGCTTTACTGTTGCATTCTTCTGGACACTGGTAAAACCATGCAACACAAGTATATGGTACAAGTATCCAATCAATCCCACCAAGATTTCTGTATCTGGAAATGCACATAAGTGCCCATTCCATCTGGTCAAACAACACACTAATAAGAATCCTTTAGAATTAATTTAAAAGCTTTTCTTGTTCGAGTGGAATTCAGGAGGGGCCGAATGAAAGTGAGAGGGGTTGCTGAAGTATGAATTCTGCCCTTTATTTTCAGATACATGAATAACAATCTGAAGATTACACTTGTGTAGCTCTGAACCCCTGGTCTCTCTGACACCCCACTAGCTCAGGCATTGAGTGTGTGGCAGGTTATGCTACTATAAGAGCTGCCCTGTGTTTGCCTCGTGTTTTGTCCTTTCTCATCCAGATATATGTGACTCAGTGGCAAAGAAAGCCTCACACATCTCCCATTTTGTGTCAAAAGATTCTTAAATAATGGCCACATGGAGAAGAATATAGAACAAAGTTATAGAGGCAAGAAATACCAATCGTTATTCACTATTCTCCATATACCCACAATCCAGATTACTGGCATTTCAAAGTGTTGCAAATGTATTCTGAGAATATTTTTCTTGCTCTTAAATATTTATTGCAAAAGGGATTCAACACACTTCAAGTATGTGATTATATTCTTTACTCCTTGTTGTCTCATCTCTTCAAGGTTTTCAGAATTTTTGCAGCAGCAATCTCACCCAGTATACTGCGAATCGTCAGCAAAACGACCGTTTCATTCCCAATTCCTGAATGGCCCCTTCAGCAGCTTCGTGTAGATGTTAAACAGCAGCAGCCCGAATAGCATGGTTGGTTAGAGCATGATGCTAATAACACCAAGGTTGCAGGTTCAACCCCTGTATGGGACAGCTGCAAATCTCTGCATTGCAGGGGGATGGACATGACTATCAGGGTATCTTCCAACTCAACAATTCTATGATTCTATGGGGGACAACATGAGATCCCTTGGGATGCCAAATCAGAAGAGTACAGAATTAAACTTAGTATATCCGCTTATCACACAATTACCTGTTTGAAATGTGAACAACAGTTTCCCCCCACCTGATACTCAAACCTATACTGATGGACATGGGGAATTTAAAAGATGAAATGTACATTTCAATATATCTGAGGCAAGAATTCTCTAAAATTACATCCTGTTACATTTATATAACATAAGGCTCTACAAATAATATATTTGTGCCTGCTCAGAAGTACACATCATGGAATTCAATGGGTCTTACTTCAGGTAAGTGCATATATTGTTATGAGTTTGTGGGTGCTAGGCAAAAGGGGGGGAGGTAAAGGACCCTGGGCGGTTAAATCCAGTCAAAGGAGACTATGGGGTGCGGCACTCATCTCTCTTCACGTCGAGGGAGCTGATGTTTGTCCACAGACAGCTTTCTGGATCATGTGGCCAGCATGACTAAACCCCTTCTGGAGCACGGAGGACTATGATGAGTGCCAGAGTGCACAGAAACACCATTGACCTTCCTGCCGCAGTGGTACTTATTTATCTACTTGCACTGGCGTGCTTTTGAACTGCTAGGTTGGCAAGAGCTGGGACAGAGCAACGTGAGCTTGCCCAGTCACAGGGATTCAAATTGCCAACCTTCTGCTCAGCAAGCCCAAGAGGCTCAGTGGTTTAGACCACAGTGCCACCCGTGTCCCAGGGTGCTAGACACCTGGGTCCAGTAGCTGTTAGAATTTAAGCAATGCTTGGAGTGTTAAAACTGGGTTGAGAGACTAGTGTGTGTTAAGCCAGACCATGTGTATTAGGCTGTGTACTACACACTTCTAAATCTCCTGGAGTCAGCATATGTGAAGAGCCAATTGAAGAATGCTAAGCTTCCTGTGTCCAAGAAATAGCCTGGGATGATGAGCCATTTGGAAAGCCAAAGGATCAAATGAACTCTGTGTGTGATGGCAAATGGATGGGGACTCTTCCTCCTCTAGGTTTGAGATAGTGAGAAGAACATAAACCAGAGTTTAGGGAAGCAAGGGGAGCCAGAAGATGAAGGGAAAACTGCAGGCAGCAAAGGCAAATTCATGGCTGATGTCTGTTTGAATCCAGGGGTGAATCAATGAAGGAAGGAAGACCCTACTGAAGTACTAATGCTAATGCTCAAGGTGTATATATGTGTAAAGAAAGCATATCTCAATAGACACCACAGTCTCTGCTGGGTGAATGTGCCTGGAACCCCTGGGACCTTGCACTGCTCAGAGATTGGCGTGGCATGCAACAATATGTATGGGATTACAGTTAAAAGTCTAGTTGAGAATGTGGTTGTGTCACCAAGGGGAATCAAATGAGCGCTGGTTGCCTTAGAGACACAGTGAATTTTAGCTACAAGTGTGTGTCGGGGAGAGAAAGTAAGACCTTACAACAATGAGCTAAAAGGAAATGTTACTTTAATTAAGTGTTTGGGGACAGCTGAGTCAATTGCAAAATCTCATACATGGCAGTAGAAGCAGAAGCGTGATTATTGCCTTAAAAGCACATGTTAATACACTGTTGTGAGACCAAGATTGCTGACAATATTAAGAACTGTCAATTGCGATTAATTGCTAGATTTATTGTTAATTGCAATTCTTGACTATAACGAGTGAATGGTCAGTGGCTCTAGACATGTAAAAAGAAAAAAACTAGTATTGGATTAAACATTTAAATGGTGACTTTTTATCATGCAGTGAACAATCAGAATAAAAAAAGCTTTAATAATCTGCTGCAAGAGATTTGAATTTAGATTACCACAATTTTTCAGGCATCATGGTCTTAAAAGGAGGATAATATCGAAACTTTTTGCCTATGCCTTTCATTATTTTCTATACCTCGCTTGCACTAGCAACTGTCACTTTCCTGGGGCTTATTTCCATTCTCGACATTTTTATAGCTCACACCTCGACTCGCCGTGCCTGCATTGCAATCCAAGGGTGCGACTGATTAAAGTAGAAGCTGAAATATGCAATAATTATATGCTTCAGTTTTGTCACTCATTTATTTACATATAATTTTCTTATGTGACTGGCTGCAGCCTGCTAGAATTCAGCTCCTACCTGAGCAGAGTGCAGCTGTATCTGGTAGCTTATTGACATTTCAGGAGTAGCCAATCAGGTGCCCTCTTGGTGATACTGGATTCCAACTCTATCAGCCCCAGACAAAATGGCTAGTGATATGATGGACGCTGTAGTCCAATCACTGTACTATGTAAACATTCCATTCCTCCTGTTTCCCACCCATCTCCCTTTGATGAGTATTCTATTTCCTTTTTGTTTTATAAAAGAATAAATTATTTACACAAGAGATAAACACAAACAGGAACAACAAACATAAAAATGCAAAAAATAAATCAGAAATGACAAAGGGGCTTGGCATCCATTATCTTAATTGGTTCTTGTTGCAAATATCTCATTTCCCATATTATTTGCTAAAGCCACAGTTACATTCTGAGATTTTGTACGTATGCCTAAGGATGTTGTTGTTGTTTAGTTGTGTCCGACTCTTCATGATGCCATGGACCAGAGCACACCAGGCACTCCTGTTTTCCACTGCCTCCCATAGTTTGGTGAAACTCATGTTGGTAGTTTCAAGAACGCTGTCCAACCATCTCATCCTCTGTCGTCCCCTTCTCCTTGTGTCCTCAATCTTTCCCAACATCAGGGTCTTTTCCAGGGAGTCTTCTCTTCTCATGAGGTGGCCATAGTATTGGAGCCTCAGCTTCAGGATCTGTTCTTCCAGTGAGCACTCAGGGCTGATTTCCTGAAGAATGGAGAGGTTTGATCTTCTTGCAGTCCATGGTAAGGTTACCAGATTTTTTTTTCAATTAATCCGGGGTCACTTATTGTTTGCTATGTACATGTGAATGCTGAGAAAGCTGTAAATCCAGGGACTGTCTCTGGGAAACGGGGACATCTGGTAACCTTAGCCATGGGACTCTCAAGAGTCTCCTCCAGCACCATAATTCAAAAGCATCAATTCTTCGGTGATCAGCCTTCTTTATGGTCCAGCTCTCACTTCCATACATCACTACTGGGAAAACCATAGCTTTAACAATATGGACCTTTGTCGGCAAGGTGATGTCTCTGCTTTTTGAGATGCTGTCTAGGTTTGTCATTGCTTTACTCCCAAGAAGCAGGGGTCTTTTAATTTCGTGACTGCTGTCACCATCTGCAGTGATCATGGAACCCAAGAAAGTAAAATCTCTCACTGCCTCCATTTCTTGTTCTTCTATTTGCTAGGAGGTGATGTATGAAAATGTAATGTTAGACAGATTACAAACATGGTTAATTAACCCATTTGATCAGAGCTGTAGCTGCTGTAGTTGATGCAACCCAATTGCCCTTTCACGGTCCATTTCTTTGCCTGCCTATTCAGACATAAGCATCTTGGAGTTCCGTGGGCCTTCATTCCCAAGTAAAGGTGCTAAAGAGCCCTGGAAGAACTAAAAAAATAGCACAGGAGGGTCTAAATACAATGCATGGTTTTGGACCAATTTGTTGCATTAACTATATCCAAAAGCTGTTAATGATTTGTAAGATGCTTCTGTTGGAGAAAATAATAATTTTGTAAAACTGCATAATTCTGATGATTCCATTTTATTTTCAGCCTATGTCCTAGTTAAATTGAAAAGGCCTGTGCCTTTTCACAGAACATAACTAGCTACTTTTAGGTCCTATATGCAGTGAATATCCATTTCAGAACACTGAAAAGAATAAACTGTTAGAATCTATTGAGGCCACTGTATGCATAAAAAGAGAATCGGCTAGGCATGGCAATTGTGATTAATCTTCAATTGTTTTGTAGACAGATAAAAGGGGATATTGGGAGACATTTAATGAATAGGAAAATTAGTCAAAGAAAGTCAAAGACAGACACTGAAAAATATAATCATGTACTGGAGGTTTTGTTGAACATAATTAGAAGGGACCAGTTGGTTAAAGGTATACAAGTCGGAGCTAGACAGTATAAACTGAGAGCTTTTGCAGACGATTTAGTATTGACATTACAGGAGCCAGAATCTAGTACTAAAAGAGTTTTGGAACTGATTCAAGAATTTGGTCAAGTTGCAAGATTTAAACTGAATAAGTTAAAAACAAAGGTTTTAGAGAAAAACTTAACAGCGATTGAAAGAGAAAGGTTTCAGAATGAGACAGGTTTAACAGTGGTCAAGAAAGTGAAATACCTTGGGATTAATATGACAGCTAAAAATGGGAACTTATTCAAAGACAATTATGAAAAATGTTGGACGGAAGTGAAAAAAGACTTAGAAATTTGGTCAAATTTGAAGCTTTCATTGCTAGGCCGTATTGCTGCGATAAAAATGAATGTATTGCCTAGAATGTTGTTTTTGTTTCAAACATTGCAAATTGTGGACAAAATGGATTGCTTCAAGAAGTGGCAGAGAGATATATCTAGATTTGTCTGGCAGGGCAAGAAGCCTAGAATAAAATTTAAAATATTAACGGATGCAAAGGAAAGAGGTGGGTTTGCCCTGCCAGACCTTAAACTTTATTATGAATCAGCAGCTTTTTGCTGGCTGAAAGAATGGCTGCTTCTTGAAAACACAGACATTTTGGATTTAGAAGGTTTTAATAATGTATTTGGATGGCATGCATATTTGTGGTATGATAAGGTCAAAGCACATAAAGCATTTAAGAATCATATTGTCAGGAAAGCATTGTTTAATGTCTGGATAAGATATAAGGATTTATTGGAAAACAAAACTCCAAGGTGGCTGTCACCAATGGAAGCAAAAGCACCGAAAAAGCTCAATATGGAGGCCAAATGGCCGAAATATTGGGAAATTTTGGAACAAGAGGGAGATAGATTGAAATTGCAGAGTTTTGAGAAACTAAAAAACAAAGTGCG